TGTACAAATGTTAGTAGTGATGGTTCCCTGCTTCACCCCTCAGAAGACAGGCCCTCACTTAATGGATGACAGATGAAGGGGGGAAAGCAACATTCTGTTATACCTAATTTAATCCTTTATTTACTATCTTAGACTATTTTTTGTTTTTGTGGATGTACTACCATTCAGGCCTCTTTCATTCTCTAGTAGCAGAAACCCCATCAGACCAAGTTCTCCAGAAAGTAGTGTTTACTGGCTCAGGTAAAGTTGAAGGACAAATAAATAGCTAAGGATGTCTGGACCAGTCAGGGCTCTCTGTCTCTCGTCTTTTTTCCTTCTCAGTTTTAATTCTAATATGTCAAATACCAACAGATAAGACCCACATGAACAAAAACTCTTTAGGGTCCTCAATAATTTTTAAGAGGATAAAGGGGTCCTGAGGCCAAAATATTTGAGAAACTGGCCTAGGCATTTATCTTATATCAAAAGAAACAACTTCTAGTAGGTTATAGGAGGTTATTAAGGGAGCCAGTGGACTCAACCATCCTCTATAATAAAAGGCTAATATGCAAATAGACCAAACAGCAGAACGACTGGTCGCTATGATTTGCACTGACCACCAGGGGGCAGATGCTCAATGCAAGAGCTTCCCCCTGGTGGTCAGTGCACTCCCACAGGGGGAGCGCCGCTCAGCCAGAAGCTGGGCTCACAGCTGGCGAGCACAGGGAGGTGGCGGGAGCCTCTCCCGCCTCTACGGCAGCGCTAAGGATAAGGATGTCCAACTATGGCTCCCGGACTTCGAAAGGGTTAAGGCCGGGCTGAAGGCCCCCCCCCACCTCAAGTACACGAATCTCATGCACTGGGTCTCTAGTTAGTGGAATAAGGAAAAAACATGGACAGTTAGTTGAACAAGACAACAGGCTTTTATAAAACACATCTTTGTGACTTCATGTACAATGACAGTGATATTTCCTTCTTAGTCTGGGTATGAAAGAAGATTTAGTTGGCCCTAGTGTTGGCCTCCACCTACCTGGAAAGAAGATGAAATGTATCATTAATTCACACCTATTGACCATATAGTACCCAGAAGGTTGCTGTTAATCTAAAGTCTAATTCCTAGAGCCCACTTGATGGGAACAAAGCTCTAAGGAGGTCAAAAGTCACAATTTCTGCTGCCTAATGAGGAGGGTTTCTGCCCTCTGCCCCAGGCAGACCCTCCCTGCCCCAGCCAGTTCTTGGGCAAGTCTTTGAACTTTGCCTGAGCAAAGACTGAACAAGTGTGGACAGCTCAGTGCTACATGTTCATCTTTATTCTGAAAAAGAAAAAAGATATCTGCAAAGACAGTGGGATCTTTTTTATAAAATGTGTGCTGATTAAAGTAACTTTTAGTCCCACTATCTGCATGCAACTGTTGGCATTCTCTTTTTGTGTGAATAAGAACACACTGCTCTCCCCTTGTGGCTCAGTTGGTTAAAACATCCCCCCATGCACCCAAGGCTCTCAGGTTCAATTCCCAGTCAGAGCATATATCCAGATTTGGGGGTTGATCCCCAATCAGGGCATGTGCTGAGGCAGCTGATGGATTTTTCTCTCCCTTCCTCTCTTTCTAAAAAAGATTAATAGAAAAATCCTTAAAAAAAAAAAAAAAAAAAAAAAAAAAGCCCTGGCTGGTGTGGCTCAGTTGGTTGGCGCATCCTCCCAAATACCGAAAGGTCTCAGGCTCCATTCCCAGTCAGGGCACATACCCAGCTTTCAGGTTTGATCTCTAATTAGAGTGCCTATCCATGTTTCCCTCACATCAATGTTTCTCTCTCTCCCTCTCTCTTTAAAATCAATAAAAATGTATCCTCAGGTGATGATTTTAAAAATAAATAAATAAAAAGAACACACTGATATGGTAAAAAAAATAATAATAATTAAAAAAAAACTTAAGGTCAGAGAAGAAGCTAGAGTTAGGAATTTTAAAGTCCCTAAATTTCCTTAGGGGAATTTTGTTAATTGATGGGAATTTTTTTTTAATTCTGTTTTATTCTCACTTCCCTGGTCTTTCTCTGCTACCAAGTGTATCATTGTGACTTTCTAACAGGTAAGTCTGTGCACCACCATTGAACCATTCAAGCATTTTGATACATTGACATTGCTTCGAAGAATCCCATTTTTTCTTTTATGCATTGTTCATCTTCATATTTTGTACAACAGTATGTTACTTAGAAATGAGGTTTTGGTGGTAGTAACAATACTATTGAATCAAGGCATTTTGCTCAAAAGACTGGACAATCTATTTGTAGATCTAAAGGTACCAAAGGTGACAGGTTGCCACTTTCTTTCTCCAAATGGCATCTTTAGATCTCTTTCTAAAGGAAACCACATCAATACTCTTGTGCCAGTTATCCAAACCCACCCTTGAAATACTACATCACTGCAGAGCACTAGGTGGACCAGCACATTCAATTTGACCTTGAAAATGTTTATTGAAGCTTTTGCACATGGCAGCTTGACTTACAGAAATCTAGATGTCCAAGTAGTTTACCCTCTGTGTTTTTTGTCAAGCCAGCACTTTTTCTTCCTGCTTTTTGGAAGCTGCTCCTCCCCAGCTGGTGACTGTGAATCATGGTACTTTACTCCTCCAGCCACAGAGATGGGCATATGACGGGGCTGGGTCAATCTGAGTTCTTCTCTGCATTTTCTAATGATGCAGAAAGGAAGTCTGTGTGGTGTGAGGTCTCTGTGAGCTTTTGGTTTTGATCAGACTCTAGTTCATTTTTCTGTAGTCTCTTGTTGCTGCCCTCCGCGATATGTGTAGTTTGTACTCAGGCTAGCCCCACTCACGGTAGCAGGCCAGACTGCCGTGTTGCACAGTTCCAAAGGCATTATTCACTTCTTACAGTAGTTTAATCATCTTGCGGGTTAAAGACCTCCAAGAATCTACAAACATATTCATGAGGGTGTATGTGTTCTCTAGGCAAATTTTCAAATCAATTCAGGCATTCTTTAACTGGTTTAAATTGCTCCGTGACACTTGAGTGCCAGAAATGTCACCTTTCTTAATTGCTTAAATGAAATTATATTTGGCTGAGACTCCTACTTGTCAAGGGCTGGCACAACTGGTAGCAGTCGTCATTGGGACTTTTCCTCCCTTTAATTGTATCCTACAAGAACCCAGGCACTTGCGTGGTCCTGAAAAATTAGGGGCAAAATATCTACTGGCCATCAGTCTGCACCCATGAGTGTTGACGCTTCTGCCCAACCACTCTTGAGTTCTGGTCCTCTGCCATCTGTTGAGCACAGCTGTCCCGGTGGGCTACAAAGATGTCCTTCACGGTGATTATTTTCACTGACTGATGACTCAGCCACCGAATAAGCTGTCTCTCTGTTATCTAATAATAGTTTGTGTACTTCTTTGTCTTCCCCCTTAAAACTTGAGCTGATGGAGAAAAAGGACATTGCTAGTTTTTCACTTTGTTCCCAGCATGCCTAGCATGATGCCTTACACACATTAGGTACCCACCTGAGTTGTTGAATGGATGAACAACTGACTATCATGCCAGCGGTCAAGGTATTTTAAAAACATCTGGGACACCTTCAGCTTATTATTTGCCACGAGACTTAGGTATTTTTGGCCTCACCAATACCTTTCTGGTTGTACTCTAGCTTGTATTTGTATGTTATTCATTTTCTAAGTATACTATTCATTGTTGTGTTTAAGAAATTAGTGTTATCCTATATTATTTCTCTAGCTTGTCAAGATCATATTGAATGATAACTCCTCAAAAACACCAATTTCTCTTTTATCACCTGTGTGTCATCAAAAAACATGCTATTTGTTTAGTGATGTTCCAGTGGATAATTCTATAATTATCTTTATCAGAGAGGAACAAACTATACCCTTTCTACCCACTGATGTTTCCTGAGTAATCACTAGGTGAATAATGTCCACTCAAACAAATACTCATTAAGCTCACACTACAACCAGCTCAGCTAGGCCACCTGGAGGATACAGAGATCTATCACGTGGTCCCTGTCCTCAGTTTATTTCCCAGCTAATGGAGGAGCGAATGCACAGGTGAAAAGTTTAATGATAAATGGGAGGCAGGTATTTGGTACACACTTCATTTATTCTGATGGGTCAGGTGTCCATTCTGATTGGTTGGTTTTAATTAAGATTGATTAAGCATTCATTCTGATTAGTTGGGTGTCCATTTTAATTATTTGCACATACACTATGATTGGTTAGACTTCCAATCTGATTGGTCAAATGTTCATGCAAAACTGATAGTAAAATATTTTTACACTGCATGTAAAAGTTAAATAAAAATGACATGGAAATACAAAAAAAAAATTGCTACATGACAGTACAGAATCCACTTGAACAACCAATCTCTATAAGCCTAACTTCTTATAACAAAGTCGGCAAGGCGTAGAGAGGATGCAAGGACAGTCTGCATCCCTCAGACCTGGGCTAGAATATATGCAAAGCCATGGTCAATGCCCAGATGAAGGCAAAATTCTTTTCTTAGGAGTAAGAACCTAATCATCCAGAATAGAGAAGAAGCCACCCAAATTGTTTGCAATATTCTGGGTGGCTCCATTTCTGGGCAGGGTCCAACCCACAGAAATGGGAGTTAGAGCGTAGCCTGCATAGAGAGTCAGCTCAACATTACTCCACTAATGGGTGGATGGGAATGAGCTATTCTTGTACCTCTTATATTATTTCTTTCTCTGATAATAAAGTTTCTGACAATAAAATATGTTAGTAAAACTCATTCCTTTCATTACCCTCGGCATTGCTATATAGGATTTTGTGTCAAATGGGGCATATTCAGTAAGTCCTAGGAGATTTGAGGATAGTCTCACATAAGCTAAGTGATTAAATAAAGACTTTTGGGACCAACTTTAAAATGGACACTGACCCAAAGGCAAAGTCAAGATGTGTCAAAGCTCACAATCAGCATCATAACAGGTATTGGGAAGCATGTGGTAGTAAATACAACACTAAATGGCTTAACTAGTAAAACTGTTTATTCAATCACATACTGAAATAATAAGAAATAGTGGTAGGAACAGGTGAGTAATCCAGCAGCTCAAATGACATGCAGGAAACCCCGTGTCTCTCTTTTGGTTTCTTAGCAGCGCTTCCTCAAAGTAATACTTATTTCAACAGGCTGGCCCCAGGTGGTTGCAAAATGTCTTTCTGAAACTCCTGGGTCTCCTTGCTTCCAGATTCAAACAGCAAAATGTACAGCATCCTCTTTTTCAAGAGTTCAAATAAATACCCTAGAGCAGTGATGGCGAACCTTTGGAGCTCGGCGTGTCAGCATTTTGAAAAACCCTAACTTAACTCTGGTGCCGTGTCACATATAGAAATTTTTTTGATATTTGCAACCATAGTAAAACAAAGACTTATATTTTTGATATTTATTTTATAAATTTAAATGCCATTTAACAAAGAAAAATCAACCAAAAAAACGAGTTCGAGTGTCAACTCTGACACGCGTGTCATAGGTTCCCCGTCACTGCCCTAGAACTAACTGAGTTCCCTGGGCCCTGACTGCCCTTCTGTGAACCAACCCTGGGGCCAAGAAGATGGGATAGGCCAATTGGCTTAAGTCACTGAGGCTGAGTGTGGGGTTAGACTCATCCTGAATCACTGGGTTATGTTAGGAATAGAGGAGACAAGGCTGCAGAAGCAACAGATGAATACCTCCACCTGTTTCAGTGTCAAGTGCATATTGATAGTTGTACCAATTGATAGGTGGTTGGTTATGTGGAAATTTCTGGAGAAGTTCTGGAGCTGAATACAGAAAAATTCTGACTTGTCATTCTCTCCTTTTTTAAAATATATATTTTATTGATTTTAGAGAGGAAGGGAGGAGAGAGATAGAAATATCAATCAGAGAGAATCATTGATTGGCTGCCTCCTGCACGCCCCTACTGGGGATCAAGCCTGCAATCCAGGCATGTGCCCTAGGCCAGAATCAAACCTGGGACCCTTCAGTCCGCAGACCGACACTCTATCCATTGAGCCAAACCAGCTAGGGCATGACTTGTCATTCTCTTAAACAAATCTTAACTGGGAAGAAGAGGCAGGAAAGAAACATTGTTTTCTAAAGAAAGGAGGTGTGGTCCAAAGCTAGAATTAATGTAAGCGCTTAAATACCTGGTCCCTTTCCTTCCCTACTTCAGCAACCAGCTAAGGTTAAGCACTTCGGCAGCCTAGAACTTTGTAAGTTCTCTATCAGTCTGTCCTGGGATTCTGTAATGGAAAGAGGGGTAGATTAAGCATCTGGTGACCTGGGTTCAGTTCCCAGCTCTGCCATTAATTAGCTCTGTGACCTTAAAAAAGAACAACCTTTCTGTGCCTCAGTTTCCTCATCTGTAAAATGGGGGAGGGGGGACTGGATTAGATAATCCTTTTCTGTCTATAAAATCCTTTGGCTCTCGAATCCAAGCTCCCATAACAGGTGACCTAAGGTTTTCCATGGGATTTCTAGTCTTACAGACAAACCAAACACCCTGGTGAATTAAAGGGATTTATCAACAGCCTCCAGACCTAGGGGATCCCAGGAGGCCAGGCAGGGTGTGGTGCTGGGAAAGGAGCCCAAGACACCTAGTTCCTTGTTCTAAATAGCATTCAGTTCACCCTATGACTCAGTTATCAGCACTTCTCTCTTTCGGAGGAGCGAAAAGTTTTAGTCCTCTCTGTGCTGACGACAACAGTTTATTGAGTTGCCAATCTATAGGGTTAAGAGAAAAATGAACTTCTGCTTTGTATTTTGAATCATATCCAAATCAGACTCCTACCTCAAATTACGACTTAATAAGTTTTCCTTAATCATCTTTTTCCTGAATCATAGACTATTTCCCCCCAATTTAACACCAAGGGCTTATAGATGGAGTTAATTAGAGAGCAGGCCGAGTACCCAGACCTTATGATAAAACACACACTCTCTCTCTCGCTTGAAATTCCTTGTTCTCACTGCTCAGACAGAACTGAAGAGTTAATATGAAGTCAAGCAGAACTCTTTGATTACTCATTTTTAAGATTTACAATTATGTATACATGATGGTGACAACCTAATAGAATGTTGGACAAATAAGGCAGAATAGGTGATTCTTTGGATCAAAGGTAAATACTCAGGTTAAAAAAAACTGCTAATGAAATTCCAATCACATGGTAATTTCCCACTTATTACTTTCTGAAACTCAAGTAGCTGTATGGTCTAACGGGGCCTGTTTGGGGGATTATCACAACATCTCACTTCTGCAATGGGTGGCGTCATTGGACATTTAATATTCGTTAAGGCTTTTATGAAACAGAGAGGTTTCAATATGTCTCTAGAGCAAAACATTTGTGTTTGCCATCTGCTACTCAAGAGCAGTTTTGTCGAAAAAGAATACAAATCGCTTGGTTCTTTAATTACTTCGAGGTTAGGCTATGTGATAGTTGGGACTGTGGGCCAGGAGAATACTGTTGTTTACTTAGGCAGCAACTTAAAGAATTCTTTACAAGCAAATGACCTGAAAAGACACGGAAGCCTAATATCATCGCTGTCCTTTAAACTCAATGCAAAGACCACTGTGAAGCGATATGTGAGATTTTTAAGAGTTGGCCTTAGGGAGACACCATCTAGGACACCGGACTTTAAGGTCAGTTTTGCAAAAGTTTCTCTTTTCTGAGTCCTGACCAAAGAAATATATGACTCAACACTTCAAAAAAAAATAATTAAAGGATCTCCTTGAGCTCAGTATCAAAGAAAAGGTAATTTAATCTTAATTACCCAGGAGCTAATAACCTGGGCTTTGGAGTCTGTGCCATTTGTTTTTCCTTCCACCTTCTCGTTAGCTTCTTGAATTGTAGATAATTCTCTGCTCAGTAACATCTCCACTAGCCTATGGATATAGATCATTAGTTGTGCTTAATCAGAAGGAACTTCAAACAACAGAGTTTATCCAAAAGCAGAGATCCTGGAGCTTACAGATTATCTGTAGATTTCTATCATTGATGCTTTTTCTAGCCCTCCTCACCGTAAAATTTCATTCGTTGGAGTTATTAACATATGGACTGTAAGAAACTGACAAATGAAAGGAACCTAGTTTGGCCAGACCAGCTATGAGATCCTACCTCATGGACCTCTGATTTCTAAGACTAGTTTCTGCTTTAAGATGCTATAGAACCAATAAATATAGAGATGGTTTATTGTAATGTTTCCAAAGTTCATACCTCAGCATACTGAGTGAGTCAGTAGATATTAGTAGGTGAAACTAGAGGAAAGGGTTTCATGGCCAAACCCTTTGGAAAAATGCTGTTATCATAGCGTTTTGATGGTACAACTTCCCAGAACCCTCAATATGCTGATATGCAGTGTGCACACAACTGGGTGTGGTGTGCACTCTCCCCACACTCCTGCCCATTTTTGAGCATTTTATGGGACTGAATCCTGCGGAATATACATTGAGAAACTCTGATTTAATCTAAGCCCTTCATTTTAGATACGAAGGTCTACATTGTGAAGTCCTCCTGGACCCAGAACACCTGTTCCTGCCTCCCGGGTTTCTCCTGAACCCCAGGGCAGGGCGTCTCATGCAGCTTCTGTCACCACATCCACAGACCCATCAGCCAAGGGGGCGGGGGCACCAGATGGCTGTTTCCTCCCTACCTGGGGCAGTTGCTTTACCCCTGAGTCCTGGGGGACTGGCAGACATTGTATTAAACTGAAGTGAAAGTCATCTTATGTGCAGAGTCAAATTTACCCAGAATTCTAAAGTGCAAAAAACTAGATTCTTAAATGAACATTCTGGATGCTGTTTGTTTTTTTTTCAGAAAACAAAACAAAACACCACTAATGTCAAGTAATTAAGCTAATATAAGCTTTTTTTTCCGTTTGTATTAGTCTGTATTTTGAGTGAGTTGTAGGATGTTAGAGGGTCACATCACACCCAGGCTAACTTCCTAGAGTGATGTAAATTCTGTAAAATGATCTGCACAATAAAATGTTTTTAAAGATAAATTATTTCAATTTCTTGTAGGCATGGATTATAGTCGTATTGTATACTTAATGACTAACACAGGGCTTGGCATATATTAGGCACATGGTGGTAAATATTTTTGCATTAATTAGTCAATTATAATCTGATGACTGGACTTTAATAATGGTAATAATATAATAATGGTTTTAATGATATCCTGCCTTTTCAAAAATCTCAAAGATAAATTCCTTGACCTGGTTGAGATTTATAAACTGGTTAACACTCCTTATTGTAATCTTTTATTTATTTATCTATTTAGTTATTTTTTTTATTGATTAAGTTATTACGTATGTGTCCTTATCCCCACGTAATCTTTTATTTTAATAAACAATTGCACTGTGATGTGATGTTTCTTTCAGATAATAATAAACGAGCTCACTTCAACATTTGACTTTTAAACTTATGCACACAGACCTCTAACTGGAACGAGCCAGTAGATAACGAGTCCTAACTTCCAGTCATTGTAGAATTCCCCTTTCAGCCACTTGGACTGTATTAAGCATCCTTAGAGACATTGCACATAATAATGAATCTGAAGAAATGTGTGATCCTGGAGGGCCTTCTGAGTCATCAAAGACGGATGAAGTCATGTTGGTAAATTCGTTTGTATTCTCTATTTTCATTCATTTAATAAAAACTTTTTTAGTACCTACAATATATAAAGCAATTCACTAGGTACTATAAGGAAATAAAGATTAAGTTTATACAGACCATCCCTTAAGAAGCTTATGTTCTGGAAGGAGAGGTGGGCACACACATAAATAATTACAATGCTAGGTAAAATTAGGATATGCAAGTAATGTGCTACTGTGTTAGTTTATGGTTCTTTCAAATTAGTTTATTTTTCTTACAAAACTGGTAGTCTACAGTTAAGCAGATTGCCCAGTGCATTAGAACTGCCCATTCCCTAGCTACTCTGGATAAATAGAAGGCTACATCACTTGGTTATCAGTGATATTAGACTTTACTAGCAGTCACCAGCACCATCAAGAGCCATGCTTCTCATTAGTTGGCAAGACAGGACCATCCTAGCAAGATCTATTGACCAGCACTAAGTCACTTACTGTGGACACACAACTCACCTGAGCTGGATGGGCAGAGAGGATGGCGTGGAGCCTGACTTGTGGTGGGGAGGCTGTGGGTATGCTTTCAGGAAGTCAGATACTTGTGTGGGCAGCAATGCAGTAGTAGACGGGCCAAGCTGCCAAGTGAAAACCAGAAATGGGGTCAGCATAGGCACACAGATTGTTGCTGGCTCTGCAGAGTGGTTTTGACTAACGGAGAGTGAATTCGTGGGGGAGGAGACTATGCGGGCAGGGGAAAGACCTGTCTCTCCACACCCTAGAAGTCACTACCACCTGATGTTGGGAATTGACTCTTTTATTCTGATTTGGCCCATATTTTTGTCTCCAATTAAAAAGCAAAAATAAAGATTTAAGAAAATAGTTTATATAACCAACATGTGAAGACCATTATGGAAATACCTCCTCTATATATTAGGAACAAGCTGTCAGAGAAGGTGAGACTAAAGCCTTGGTCTGAGCCAAGAGTCCAGAATTCTGTTAGCATTATTAACATATACATATCTCTCTATATAAAAGCCTAAGTGACCATTAAAATGGAATGACCGGAATGATTGGTTGCTATGATGCGCACTCACCACCAGGGGACAGACGCTCAACACAGGAGCGGCCCCCAGCCCACAGGCCCCAATAACCGATGGGGCCTGCTGGCCAATCTCCCAGTCCCTTCCCCTAAGCCAGCAGGCCCCAATCGCCCTATCGGGGCTGGGCCCCAGGCTGGGACAGGGACTGGGGGTGGGTGGTGGCAGAAATGGGTGGCGAGGAAGAAGGAAGGGGGAAGTAGGGAGGCGGGGAACCGCACAGTGACGGTGCATGAGTGGCAAGGGAAGGGGCGGGCAGGGAACCTGGTTGGCCCTGATGGCCGGCCAGGCCTAGGGACCCCACCCATGCATTAATTTTGTGCACTGGGTCTCTAGTGTTAGTATAACACAACAAATTAGCATCAAAATACACACTTTACACCTTTCCCTATTGATATTTTTGCCTTGAGAATTGATAAAAAATAACTTTTATGTGTGGACATAGTTCCTTTAAAATTAAATGTGAATCATTCATTGTTTTAAAAATTTAGTTAATTAGGAAGCTCATAATTTTAACTCCTTTGTATGTCAAGCCAGGACTATGATCATGACTGATTCTGAGGGGAATGCTATGGACACAGGGATTGGGTTGTCCCATAGCTCCTTGCAACTTGGCTGACACAAGGACCCCCTCCACAAAGGGCAAGGCAGCACATGCCCAACTGGTGGCCCAGAGAGTCATGCTTTTCTCCTTCCTCCCACTTGGTCCCTTTTGGGGAGACACTAGCAGGGATACCCACCGTAGGAACACCATCTAGAGCTTTGGTATCTGGTTTTTCATGGGAGCTCAACCTCTCCAGTAAAATATTTAAGTATGGAGTTTATTCATTTGGGTTCTAGCCCTTATACCTTCTGGAGACCATGCCCACTGCCCAGAATAAGTTTCTGTGAAAGGCAGCAAACAAAACACTTGAAACAGCTCATGCCTCTGTGTTTTACAGTTGAACAATTACTTATGCTATCCAGATTTGTACAGGTTCCAGTATTAACTCACACTTTTGGCTTATTTATTATTTGGCCAGATATCATTTGCTCTTAGGTCTTGGCACGAAGAAGCCTTCTCCTGAGGCCCCCTCCTTAGAGACCCCACCCTTGTTCTCTTCTAGTCACTCCTCCCCACCGGGCAAGGAATCCACAGGCCAGGTGGAAGTATTTACTCAGAACCATGCCCCCCTCTTAGGCCACCCTCTAGGAATTCAGACCTCAGGATTCCTGCCAAAAGCCCTGCTTCCAGGATTCGTGTGGGCCTCTTACCCTTCCAAGGCTGGACTATGTCATTGCTATAGCACCACAGGCCCAAGCAGTGGCCAAGAGTGGTTGTGATGTGGCCAGAGCTTGAGCTTATGGGCAGGGGTCCTCATTGTGTGTGTGTGTGTGTGTGTGTGTGTGTGTGTGTGTGGCCTGTCATGATGTGGGCCAGGTCTGCAGTGGGAAAGAAGGACACGGGTCAGGGCTAGGACTGCTCTCCATGAACTCCCATACCCTGGTGTGGAGCTCTGAGGAGCCAGAAAACTCTAAATCCAAACCCATTTTCCAGGTCATTACGAACATACAGCATGTCCCAAAAATGCACGTACACTTTGAATAATTATAAAAGGGGTTTTTATTAAAATACATTTCATTTTCAAAATTGAGCTTCAGCTGTTAAAGTGTGTGTACTTTTTTTTTTGGAACACCCTGTTTTTCTGTTAAGGTGGGAAACTAACTTGTCAACTTCAGCTACAATTTTTAAGTATTGAGACACATGATATATGGGGCCTCCATTTTTATTCTTGCCCCGGGCCTCACAAATATGGGGCTAGACCTGCTTTTGGAATAGGTTTGATTTTGAGTTTGTTTTAACATCCTATATAATAAAACCCTACTATGCAAATCGACCGAATGGCAGAATGGCCTGTTGCTATGATGCACACTGACCACCAGAGGGCAGACGCTTGATGCAGGAGCTGCCCCCTGGTGGTCAGTGCGCTCCCAGGGGGAGCACCACTCAGCCAGAAGCCGGGTTCATGGCTGGCGAGCACAGTGGCAGTGGCAGGAGCCTCTCCCGCTTCCGCTGCAAGCAGGTGATAAGGAGCGAGGGATCCTGGACTGCTAGAGCCCTGGACTGTGAGACGGATGTCCGACTGCCGGCTTGGGCCTGATCCCCCAGGCCTAAGCCGGCAGTCAGACATCCCCTGAGGGGTCCCAGACTGTGAGAGGGCGCAGGCTGGGCTAAAAAAAAAACCCCACCCCCAGTGCACAAAATTCGTGCACTGGGCCTCTATCCTATATAATAAAAGGGTAATATGCAAATAGACCGAATGGTGGAACAACCAGAAAAACCAAACAACTGGTTGCTATGACATGCGCTGACCACCCGGGAGTGTGTGCGGAACATAGAGGGCATTGGCCATGGTGGGATGGTGGAGCAGGTGAGTGCGGCACCAGATCAAGGTGGGGTGCTGGTCACTGTCATCAGGGCAAGCCTCTGGTGGTTACTGAAAATTCTTTGCTCCCGTGTGCCACAGTCCCACCCAGTGCTCACACCTGCTGCTGGCACCGGCCCCGCTTGTACCTGCTGCCGGTGCCTGACACTGGTCTTGATCACTCAGTGCTATCCACTCAGCACTATCAGTGGGTGTGAGCAGCAGCTGCCAGCCCTGATCACCCTCAAGGGTTTCTCCACTTCCCCCAGCTCCTGAGGGGCAATCGGGGCAGCAGCCACTGCTCGCACCCACTGCTGGCACCGGCCCCAATCGCTCTGTGCCGTCAGCAAGTGTGAGTGGGGCGGGCACCATCAGTGAATGGGAGTGGCGGTGGCGGCAGGAGGGGGGCTGCAGGCAGACAGAGGACCAAGGGCTGCGGTGGGAGGGGCTGGGCGGGGGTGTAGGGGATGGGCCGAGACCTGCCCCTATACCTATTGCAGCCTCGCAGCCCACAGTTCCTTTCAAGGTGCACAAATTCGTGCACTGGGCCCCTAGTTTATAATATAAAGGGTCTGATAACAAAGGGTTGAAGTATGAGTAGTGGGTGGGCTGTTTTCTACCAGGTCAAATGTAGCACAGCTCCCAAGCAACATTCCAACTATGTCTCAGTGGCCCTGTTCCCTGGCCTTATAGAAGAAATTATGTGTGAGTGTATGTACATGTGTGTATGTGTGTGCACATGTGCATGTTTAACATCCATTAAGAAACAGAAGAATATGACTTAGCTATTTTGAAATAATTCAAGCCCCACACTGTTGCTCTGGTTTAGTTTATTGCTGTTCCCCGGCCAAGCAACTCTTCCCAGTTGACTTCCTTAAGCTGCTTGGAGTTAAGAGCTGGGCACTCTGAAGGCCTCTTCCAAGTGGAAAAAAGAAACTATATAGAAAGGGAATTGGGCCAGGTGTCCTTGATTGAATGCCACTTCACTTCAGCAAATCTCTAAGCCCTTCTGTCTGTTTTGTCAGCTGTAAAATGACCAGACTAATTCGGCCCTACCGCAGAGTGGCAGGTTTAATTAATAATGATGGGGACAGGCTTCGCAACGTAAGGTTGTATATACATAAAAAGAAGCACTGGAGCCATATTATCCAAAGTCTGGAGTGCATCCTGCTTTCCACGGCCACAGGTAAGCCGCTAAGTCCTGATCACACACTGCTACAGACTTCAGGGGTGCCGAAAAGCAGAGTTGGGCCACATTACCTGAACAGAAAGCAGGGTTTGGTAATGGGAGTGGAGCACAGAGTGAGTAAGCAGTGCATGGTTCAGATTTCTGGCGGCACCAGGATCCACTGGGTCCAGCTGGTGGCAGGTGATGGAATGGTTTCTGCAATCAAAGTACAAAGAACAGGTGTACCCATTTATTCTTGACATTGTCCTGGTAAGATCCTTGAGATCTGAAGTATCACACTGAAGGGAGATCTCTTTCCAAAGATCTTGCTGAGCTTCTTCCTGTTGTCCCTGCTGTGGTTTGCTGGCTGACAGCTCACCTTAGAGGTGCTTTCCTCTGCAGCAGTGTGGATCAAGCCTGTCTTATCCTTAGGGGGAACATCCCACAGTTCACTTAAAGACATGGCTACATGACCTACCAGAAGTCATGCCCAGCCTGGTGAGAATCACACCTGGGAATTGTTGGTTACTTTGGTTAATATGGGATTTCTGTCTCTCCCACACAATTCATCTAACAACATTCATATGCAGCAAATCATCACTTTTATATACTCAGTAGACATGATCTCTGCTTCCCTTAATCTCCTGGAGCCTTTGTGTTCCTAGGATGGAGTAACATTCATATTATAACTATAATAGGGGCCCGGTGCATGAATTTCGTGCATGGGTAGGGTCCCTAGGCCTGGCCGGTGATCAGGGCCCATCAGGGCCTTCCTTCCCCTGCTGCAGGCTGCCAGCCAGGGCCTTCTTTTGCTCCATGCCACCCCCTAGTGTTCAGTGCAGATCATAGCAAGTGATCAAACTCCCAGTTGAACTCTGAGGGGACACTTTGCATATTAGCCTTTTATATAGAGAGATTTGTACAGCTTCTTCCTAAATATTAGATGACTCTGAGTTCCTTGAAAACCCTGAGAAGATCTTAATCATTTTCTCATTGTCCTTGACATCAGTGCCTTCCTTATAGGAGACACACACAAAAAAACACACACTTGTTCAAATGCATTTAAAATAAAAAGACCTAATGAGTGAGGAACAATGACAGGAATGGTAATGGGAGTAAAGTGCAGAGTAATCCGCGCATTAAGAAGGCCTAATGCCCGTTAGGGAGCTTCATTTTCAAATATTGGAAGATCTAAGTATAATATATTGAGATCAAAGGTTTTCAGCAAGACTTAGACTTATATCTTGGTTCAGCAAGTTACCATCCATGGGACCTTGGGAATGGTTCTGTGCCTTAGTCCCCTCATCTGTAAAATGAGGACAATACTGCTATCCATCTTATAGCGATGTTGTACAGAGTAAATGAGATAATCCATGGAAAGTGCTTCACACAGTGCCTGGCACAAAGTAAGCACTCATGATATTACGGTCATCATCATAGGCTGTAGGGGAAGGAGTCTGGGTTGCTCTCAGAGCCTAAGAGTAACTCTTCAGATTTAACAACGGGCCCCCAGAGCTCCCTTCACACCACCTTATGAATCTGAAGCACGGTCTATTAAGGTCAAAACCTCCAGATTTTCTGCATCTAGAAAATCTGACTTCAGATTTTATTCTTTGGATAGTTAAAAATGTATGAATAAGACAGTTTTCATTCAGACACAATATGAAGGCCGTTTAAAAAGGCACTTTGCAAATTAATTACTTGTGTCTGTGCATAAGTAATTTTGTTGGTTGTAAAATATATTGTTGGGCAATGTGGATCCTATAAACAGGCTCAGTTCCAATATACTTTGTATGTTTTTAGTTTAAACTGGCCTCTCCCCTCACCATGTGGTCCCAAGATTTGATTATTCTACATGGGAAAAAAAAATGTTTTTGTTGCATATATTCATCACCGATTTGCTGACACTCGTGAAGGTGTTTTCCGTTAACAAGCTATGTCCAGTTAATGTTCAATGTTTCAGGGAGAAGGGGGAAGAATTAGGCCGCTGGAGGGAGTAGTCACCTCTAGGATCTCCATTCAGTCTCTGCCTTTTTTCCTAAGAGCTTTCCCCAGCCCCATCCATAGGGGCGGGCCCCAGGAGTCACGATCACCCCAAGTGTCCACAGGTTATTAGAGTTGATACTCCTGACCCACGCTGAGACAACCAGAGTCTTTTCCAAGGCATCTGGAATTGGGACACGGGCCTTCTGGTCAGTCACTACTGGCCCTGGAACTAGGACAGCATGTAACAGGGAGCTGGCATGGCCATTTGCATTGTGTGTTCTAGGAGGCAGAAAAACTGGAATGTAGAGAAAGGAGACTGAAATGGTGTCAGGGAGAAGTCGAGACAAGAAACCAGGTGACCCCTGAGGGAAGAAGGGAAGTGGCAAAAAAATAGCCATCTCCATTCCCAGTGGCCTCTCGGGGTTTTGTTCTGACCCCCAGGAAGCCCAGCTACCCTTCCTGCCCTGGCCCAGATCCCGTACACTCTCTGTTTTAGCTCAGGCAAGGTTAGGATGTATCTGTTACGTGAAACCCAAGGAGCCTTGGCTGAGAGTGAGCTGGCACTGAGAGGGAGGCTAAGCCAGGGATTCTGGTTACACAGGCAGGGGCTGCCTGAGAGGACCACCTGGGTGGTCCAATCACACTGACCTGCCAGAATCAGACACGCACACAAGTAGTTTTCGCTGCTGATAAAATTGAATGGAACAGATTCAGAGTAATTCCTGAAAGAAAGTTCTCTCTTAATCACTTCCTGATATATTTTCTTGTGTAGTAGGGTAAATAGGTGGCAGTACAGATGGCACACCCAGAATTTTGTCCAACCCTGAATCCTTCTACAGGGGTGTGCATGTCTGTGAATGTCATTGGTCACGCCTGTTGCAGCAAAAACAAAAACACTGGACAGGCACTGGTCTCTTCTCATGATCTGTCAGTCCCTGTTGCTGGGCCACTTGACACTCATCCACAGCTTTGGCCCTGCACCAGAGTCAGCGACAAATCCTGTCTCCAGCTGAAGGCTTTGAGAAGCTGTTTCCGTACTTCAGGGGACACGGTTAGGTTACCCTGTGGCCTGTCTTGCTCTGACCATATACCCTGGTTCTGGCTCCTGGGCTCTGCCTTTATCCTGACACAGTCTCAGTTCTGATTCCCTCTTGCAGGGCTTGAGTCCTTGATTGCTTGGGCTTCAGTCTCTGCCTCCATAGCCTGGCCAGAATCCTGGTCTCTTCAAAATCAGGACTCTAATTTGAGTACATTTATTTTTCCCCATAACATACCTGAAATGCAGACCAAGCTGAGAATTTGCTGCCTGCCCCTTGTCCTGTCTGACCCACACTGCCAGTCTGGGTCACTTACACTATTCTCCCCAATATCTCCCCACCATTCCACCACTCCACTTCTCCACTGCCAAAAATCATATTTGCTCCATTTCTGGGACATCTACCTTTTACTGCCTTCCAGATCTAAATCACCTTTGACTACTCTGAGGAGTCACATGGTCCTGCAGCTCTGTCTGCCTTTCAGACTTCTGCCCACCGACTTTGACTGGCAGCAATTACAAAGCCTACCTCACAGTAGGGTGACAGGAAGACAGTGTGGTATGGTGGATGAGCATGCCATGAGCATGGGCATCCCGAGTAGATCTGGGTTCAAATCCTTGCTCCTTCACTTGCACGAGTTTCTTAATTCCTCTAGCACTCAAAAGGATTGTTGAAGGGATTACATAAGATAATGTATCTGGCAAAATTTATTAGTTTTTGAATAAAATACAAAATTTAGTACTTAATAAGATACGTCTGCCTTTCTTTCCTGCACTTATGTTTTTTAACAGATTTATTGGTATATAATTCACATATCATTCAACCCACTGGTTTAAAGGATATACTTCAATGGTATTTAGTATATTCCCTGGACTTAGATTCCTTAAAATGCAATTATAGCATAAGGGATATGAGATTTAGTAACAGTTAAAAAATTAAGGATTGTATCAGCTATATGTTTATGGAAATCAATCATGTGGTGCCATTGCATTGCCCAAAAAGCTAATGTGATATTGGGCTGTACTGACACATATATGATGAGCAGAATAAGACAAGTAATGGCGCCATGTTATTCTGAGCTGGCAATGTGTTAAGTCATTGGGCCTATTTTAAGAGGGATATGGACAAACTGGAGCACGTCCAGAGAAACATGAAAAGGGTGATGAGAAACTGCAAAGATGCAGGAGTCTGTGATATTCATCTGAAGAAGTAAAGCCATCCTCAATTAGCTCTGGGGGTGTCATTTGGAAAATAAGTGAAGGTATTGTCTGTGTTCCCTTCCTAGACCGGAACTTCAATAGGTGAGTTTAAGTTAAAAAGAAGATTTTTACATGATTTAAGGAACAATTAAAGCTATCTAAAATTGGAACGAATTGTTCCTTTCTAACCTGAAATTCTATATTTAATATAAACCTCTTTATCTGCAAGTCAGAGAGAAACATCTTATAGAGCTCTTACTCTGTTATATGTTGTGCTCAGGTGGGCAAATGATAAAGTCAGCCAGCTCTTCTTTATTCAAGGTCATCCAGTTTTGTTTGTCTAGTAGTCCATTCTTTCTCTTATTTTTCATTCCCATTCTCTGAATTTTGACCTGAGGAAGGAGAAAAGGAAGCCCAAAACTGTCAATATGGATATTTTATTAGTAGTTCTGATGATAACGGCGATATTCCTAAAATAACATTTTGGCATTACCTGAACAGGAGATTGTGCTCATCTCTTCCCCATTCTGTGTAAACTAACTTCATCTTAGTACTTGGCATTGGCCATGGTGGCGACATTTATAGAAATTAGCAAACACTGCAGATCAGTAGCACAACTCTCCCCCCAGCTCACGTCCCAGTGCTCCCCTGCTTCAGTCTCTGCTACCCAGTGACTACCAACCTGCCACGAGTAATAATGAAGACACACCTTCTATATATTTTGGACTATATGTTTCTATAAAAAATATATTTAGAGCCAGTGGTATTTACTTTATGTAAGGGCAATTTGGAATTGAAGTAGCTTAATATAGTTAACTAGCTTCAGATGAGTGGAATGTTTAGGAGAAAATATTTGTGGAAGACTAGTCTCACCTTCCACTGCCTTCTAGGCCACACCTTTCTCCGTCAGGAAAATCCAGATAATCACGGTCTGCACAGCTGCTTTCAGAGTGACCATGCAACAGACGAGGAAGACATCTCCAAGACGAAGGCCCCCTGGAAGCAGAAAGGTACAGCTCTCCAAGGCAGTGCTTGTCCTGCACAAGTGCCTCCTTGTGCCACCTGTTGGATTTTGAAGGAGCAAGCTCTCAGCTTTTGATCAAAGGTAAGACTCCTGCAAACTTTCTGCAGATGGAATGTATTCACAATCTCCCCTCAGGCAGGACTGCTGTAAAAACATTGCATTTTACAAATTATTTTAAGGAAATCACCGTCGGCCCAAGATTCCCAGAGCCAAATGATTTTCATATTATCAACAACCTCTAGCAATTACAATTGAGCATTTATTGAGCACTTACAGCATACTATACACTTTACAAGTGTTATCTCACTTTATATTCATTTAACCTTATGAAACAGGTATAAATATTTTCATTTTACAGATGGAGAAACAGCTTAAAGAGGTTCAGTGGCCGTTAGAGTTAAAAAGTTTCTGTGCTCCTAAGAAACAGGGTTTCTATTACCTACTGCTTTGTATATAGCAGACATTTCATAAATAGTTGAATAAGTTCTTTAATGTGAATAAATAAAATACCATTCTTAATACTTTGAACCCTTTGGCTCACTAGACTTTTAACCAGCTTTCATCTAATGGTAAAACAGAATGATTTCATTTATTTTGCCTGTACACACTTTCCAAGGGAAGAGCTCACTTTAAAATCTGACCAACCCCACAATGACTTAGGATTGTTTTCCCAGTTTTAAAAACAAGGTAACTGAGGCTTAGCCAGAATTAAGTGGTCTTTTGGTCTTTTCATCACACCAGGTTGTGGCAGAGGAAAATGGTCAAAAGGCATGCATCATGAAGAACCTAGTAAATTTACAGCTGAAATAGAAGGGTTCCAGATAACCCAGTGGTGCAATATTCCTCAAAGAATGACCATCCAGTTAGCTACATTGAGTATAGCACTCAATGGACACATCCCTGCACTTTATTATGCATGGCACTAGGCATGTGGGGGGATGAGACCAAATCCTGATCTTAAGAAGCCTGTAGACTTTTAGGGAAGAGAAGACATAGACACATAAACACAGGAGCTGAAATTACAGTAAAAAGGCATAAAATGAAAACCACACAGGGCAACAATGATTATTAAGCAACTAGAGGCCCAGTGCACGAAATTCGTGCACGGTGGGGTAAGGGGAATCCCCTCAGCCCAGCCTGCACCCTCTCCAATCTGGGACGCCTCAAGGGATGTCCAACTGCCAGTTGGCAGTCGGACATCCCTCTCACAATCTGGGACTGCTGGTGCCTAACTGCTCACCTACCTGCCTGCCCGTCCCTAAATGCCCCCCGCCCCCGACAGCCTGATCACCCCTAACTGCCTCTGCCTGCTGGCGTGGTCATCCCCAACTGACCCCCTCTGTCCACTTGGTTAAATGCCGGCCTTGTTGCCTCACGTAGCCTGCTGTTTAGTCGTTACCGTTACTGTGATGGCGTCCAGATAATTTGCATATTCCTCTATTATTAGTATGTGGTCATCCCCAACTGACCCCCTCTGTCCACTTGGTTGCCCCCAACTTCTCCCTCCCCCCGGCCAGCCTGGTCTCCCCCTACTGTCCCCCTGCCAGCCTGGTCACCCCCAACTATGTAAGAGCTGCAAGAGTTCAGAAATAGGAGACATTACATCTGTATAAATTTTTGCTTACCTCAGCATTTTCATAAAACATCTTCACTATGAGCTGTGGGAAGACAATGTAGTTTGAGAGAGTATCTGGCCTCTAAGCAGCTCACTCTTCCTGGAGACTCAGGCAGGTAGTGAGAGGATTTGCAAGAAGCAATAGGTGGAGAGATGAGGAGACCGGAGACCTGATCGTCAAGGCAGGCAAGACAATGCTGGGAGATCTCACCTGACTACTGAGGCTGGATATTAATGTTTTTTCTTCCTCTATCATTTTTCCTATCTCTACCTTAAAGCAGGAACAGCTTGTAGTTCTTCCTGGGATTTGCTTTTGAAAATTTGAGGCCTCAGGAGAACTTAGAGCAGTAGTTCTCAACTTGGCTCCCCATGATGCCACCTAGGAGTTTTAAACGCTCTGCTGCCTGGGTCCCATCCCCAAATACTCTGGGGAGTTTTTTTGTTTGTTTTTGTTTTAAAATATATTTTATTGATTTTTTACAGAGAGGAAGGGAGAGAGATAGAGAGTTAGAAACATCGATGAGAGAGAAACATCGATTAGCTGCCTCCTGCACATCTACTGGGGATGTGCCCACAACCCTTGACCGAATCGAACCTGGGACCTTTCAGTCCGCAGGCCGACACTCTATCCACTGAGCCAAACCGGTTTTGGCACCTGGGGAGTTTTAAAAGCTCTGCTGCCTGGGTCCCATCCCCAAATACTCTAATTTAGTTGACCTAGGATGTTCCTTTGGTGGTTCTAATGTGCAACCAAGTTGGAGTATCATTGACTTACAGGATTCCTAGACACAGTAAGAGAGAATGAGATTTGCTGTAATGAACAAAATATCTTCGAGAAGCAGGGGAAAGGGGGAGCTTCCTTGCTCCAGTTTAGAAAAATAGCCTTGAGTTGTTACCCTGGAGTAGTAGGAATCTGGATTCTGGCTTCCTGACAGCCCCACAGGTGTTGGTAGGAGGACTCCAGGGAGATGGCAGTGTGGTGTATCTAGGCCAGTACTTCTCACGCTGGGATGTGCACACCAATCACCAGGGCATCTTGTTAAAATGCAGATTCTGACTCAGAAGGTCTGTGTTTCCAAGAAGTTCCTAGGTTTTCCTAGTGCTGCTGGTCCACAGAGTGGCAAAGATCTGCATGGCTAGGATTCTAGGTGGTCCCCCTTAATATTCCCAGATTCATCTCAAGCCATGACCTGTTAAACCCGAAGGGTTCCACAGGCAGGGACAATGACATCCCTGGGGTAACCTGGTTAAATTGATGACGAGGAGCAGATGGAGAGCATCTGCAAAGCCTTCCAGGCTAAAATAAAAAGGAGCGCATCCCAGCAGGGGATCCCCATGTCCAGGGTCTGGCAGATTACGCATGGCCCATTCAACCATACAGGGACTATTTACAAGGTTGGGGCGGGGTTAACAGAAACCACCACCTCTCAGGCCGAAGGGGAGGGAGTAGTGACTGGAATCCCGTGAGAGCTGTGGGAAAGGGACACCTGAAGCAACTGTTATTTGTAGAGAAACACAGCCACTTGGGAGAAAATGAACCATCAAGGATAAATCTAGGGGTATAAATTATCCAATACAGCTCTTCTCCCACCCTGTGATTTCCTACTGATGCCTCCCATCGGCCTAACCCAACTAGAAACCAGAGGGCAAGAGAACCCAGCTGCTGTAGCCTATCAAAGTCAGCCTTCTGGGCACAGATTGGGGGGTTTAAACAACAGATATTTATTTCTCACATTTATGGAGGCTGGGAAGTCCAAGATCAAGGGCATCGGCAGAGTTGGTGTCTGGAGAGAACCATCCCCCTTGTTCATAGATGGCAGTCTTTTCACTGTCTTTACATGGTGGAAGGGAGTGCTCTGGGGCCTCATGCAAGGGCACTAATCCCATTGATGGGCTCCACCCTTGGGACCTGACACCTCCCAAAGGCTCCACCTCCCAATATCATCATATTGGGGGTTAGTATTCAACATTTGAACTTGGGGGTGGGGGGACACCAACATTCAGTCTATAGCACCATCCCAATAAGGGCTCAGCCTCGGTCAGAAATTAAGTTGGTATGGAAGGTAAAGAAAAGGACAGCACAGTCTGCATCTGAGACTCTTACCCCTAATAGGTGGGCGCTTACCTGAGAGTGTCAAACGTCTTCACGAGTGACAGATGGATCTGAACCCCTGCAATGGAGCTTCTGGGACAATGGTTGTGACCCTGTTGAACTGGTGTGTAGAGAAGACGTGGACTTTCAGAGGTTGTGCTGATTTCAGGAATGTGTTGAGAATAAGTCACATGTGCTTTGAAACCTGCCAACAGGTGGACAATAGAAGGGAAAAAAAAAGAATGCAGCCTTGTTATAGTTTGCTGATGACACAGATTTCTCTGAGCTTTTCAGAAGAAAAAAAAATACTCAGAAAGGCAGGAATGTGAAAAGTTATTTAGGCCCCCACCTCACACCCCAAGTTTCTTAAAAACAAAAGCTCTGACCATCTTTCTGGGAAAATAAAGGTACAAACCTGAGAAGCTCTAACCCAGGGAAAAGTGGGATCTGACCTATTTAGAAACAGTCTTGGCCGGCTTGAAATTTAGCACGAGTTGAGCTCCCGGCTTATCCCAAACACCTGTGAGTTTTCCCAGCGTCTGAAGATGGTAAAGGGGAAAGGAGAGGAGATGACTGCACTTCTGAGGTGAAGTGAACCAGCTGCTGACTGGGAGTTCAGCAGCACCTTCCCAGACCTGGCCAGAGAGAACAGCTGGAGAGTTCTCAGGCAGTAAACAGAACTCCAGCTGGCTTGTCATGGTTCTTTGGGAAGCAGGTGGGGCTCCTCCTGCAGGATGCCTGAGAATAGGCTACCAAGGCAGAGGGACTCTGGGTCCCTTCATCTGACATCAGTGCAAGGGCCTGGGGGACAATTTAGGAGAAACTGAGCGCTGGAGCGGGCGGCAGAGTTATAAACATAGTTCAGGTCTTCCTGAGAGTTTTATTTCTCAGGTTACCACAGTTTCTCAGAAGTTGGAGGGTTTCCACACTGTACTGGGCATTGGTTAAGAAACTGAAGCAATAACTAGGCCTGATCATTAGAAGTTGTTCTGAAACCAGCAAGCGCCAAAATAAATTCCAGGTTAATTAAAAAGTTAAAGACTAAATATCACAACAGACCCAGATAAACCAAGATGGCGGCATAGGTAAACACCGGAGTTAGCTGCCTCGAACAACCACTTCATAATACAACTAAAAGACGGAACGGACATCATCCAGAACCACAGGAAGACTGGCTGAGGGGAAATTCTTCAACTAGAAGGAAAGAGAACAGCATACGAGACTCAGAGGAGGCGCAGTGTGGAAAATACAAAGGTGCGGAGGTGCGTGTGGAGCGGGCTGGTAGCTGAGGGCGAGGCTGTCGTTTTCAGTTGGAAGGGAGTCTCAGATTCTGAGCTCCAGTTCTGGGCAAGTCTCTAGGGACCCAGACTCAAACAGGAGAAGCGGGACTGTCTGGCATCGGTCGGAATGGGAGGGCAGCTTTCTCTCTT